ACATGTGATTTTGTACGTGATTGGACTGTTTTCGTGTCCACTGATTTGTTTATCGTTCTGGTTTGAATCTCTCTACCTACCTTTTCAAATTTTCGACCATGAGTATACAGATACTAATATCTTCACTATACTTGAGCAAAAAAATGTTGATTCCCAACAACCCCAACCGACCCCATACAAAACCCGTCTACTAGGAATCACACGTGAGGAAGCATTTTAGAACAGACTCCACAACCAAGGCCAGTGCAGGGGTTCAATCCGATCTCTCGCAGGATTCGAACATGAAACCTGTTATGTATTTAAACAAAATTTCTCTACCCTTTTACCAACTGAATTACACGTCTAATGACTCAACATCTTCACTATATTATAAAGTATTAACATTATATTCTTAAAATCTTTTTATAAGCAATCTTTATTTTAATACGACATAAAAACCATAAAAACCATAAAAACAAAATCGAGAAGGATGCATATAAAACAAAACATGAAATAAAATTTAAGTTTTGAGTTCTCAATCTTATGGGTCGTTTACCTAAATGTTTATCCGGTAAGTGTTTAACGTTAGGAGTCAACACTATAATTTATTTTATTCGGTAAGATTGTAGTACATCAAAATGTATCATATGCAACAATTTACCTAGTAAACGCTTACTCGGGTAAGACTCTCCATCTTTATCATCGCTCTTACCGGGTAAGATTCTTGGCCCTTATCCGGTGAGGAAAATTACCTGGTAAATACTTACCAGATAAGCGTTTAGTAAATGACCCTTACAGTCGGAATGTATCACTTTTACATTATCAGTAATACTTTTAATCATACTATTTTTTAATCTATGATGACAAAATTATGTATAAAATTGAATTATTTTTTTTAATTATTTTTTTAGGTTTTGTAATTATAATAACAACAATAATAAGGTTTTGGTGGACAAAACTTTATTAAAAGCGGTGGATTACACAACTACTTTTTCGGTATTATTATTTATTTATATTTATAGAAAAAAAAAACACCACGTTTCCCGTCTCATGTTTTATGTAATTTTCCCAAGATTTATGTAAATAAATACTTTATATTAAAATAGAATTAAACATTCTTACAATTAATTTGTTGGCAAATACGATACAATTTTAACGACTTTCGGTGGGAAAATATGTTGTTAAACGTCGTTGACGGGAGTAGGCATCAATTTGGTTGTTGAATCGGTAAGTGGTGTTAAAGCTACTGATTCGTTAGGAGATTGATACTGATAAACTACATAACGCTGTATTAAGTTGGAGTCTTTCAGTCAATTAAATTAAGACAATAATAAGCAAGTAAAGGAGACGTAAAACTTATATTGCAAGTAAAAGGTTGATCGTGTTGGTGTAGTAGACAAAACTATCGCTTACTTATGTATGTATATGTATATACTAGTGGTGAACCCGTGCGATACAGCGTGGGTAAATCACAATTCTGAAACATTCGTTTAGTCTTGAATCATGAGTTTGTGTGGTTATTTTACAAGTCAACTAATATATAAAGTTAGAGGTTAATATGGTGTATTAGTAAGAATAATTGCACACATGTTGAGTTTCTAAACCCATATAAAGTTGAAGGGTTGGGGTGGGGTACATACAGTGAAACCCTTTATGATATTGTTACTTTAAATTTCAGTTTACTTCAAGAAAAAGAAGAAATTTGAATTTGAATTTGGATTCAAAATAGAAAAACAAATAAAGTGTCAAACAACTTTGGAAAGACCAAACATATCTTTTTCATGTAACTATGACTTACTTAAATCTGAAACTTTGACCAAACAAATGATATGTTTTAAGCATTTGCACATTATGCATAATAGTTTGTACTTAAGAGTTTTTTGAATCTCTTGCATAAATTGATAGTATTTTATGCTTTAAGACTTGTAATTAAGATTTTTGGTTTAAATGCTTATTAATGTAGTATAGATAGGGGTAAATTTAAATAAAAATGTCTAAATAGCGTGAGAGTATATGAAAAAAAAAATCTTATGTAAACCGTTGAAAAATCTATTTGAAGATACATACGTGAAACAACTCGTATAGATTGTATATTCATATGAATTCAGTTATGCATCTTTAAATTGATTTTTTCACGTATTTTTAACCTATTCTTTTTATATTTTTGCATACTTAAACCCTTAATATATCATATATGTATTATATCTCAACCTACCTATATATATATATATATATATAATATAGTTGTGTGTGTGACAGAGATATCTTGAATTAATTATAATATTGTTATTATAATAAGGTTGAAAGAGTAAATTATGATGTAAGTTAAATATAAAAAAATGGAATATAAGATTAATAGGGGAAAACACACACAAATGGACTAAACTACCTATGTGGAAGTGGAGTGGTTGAGACCTTCTAGAACAAAACCTTACAAATTCATATATATATATATATATATATATATATATATATATAATTTATTTGAAAGTTTTTATAGAATTAGATGCATTGAATATTTTAATGTATAAATTTATAAAATAGAGAAACTGAAAAACTGTTAGAGTTGGATGTAATTTTATTTTTGAAAACCATAAGGGTGGTGCTTGATTGGTTTAAGCTTGACTCTAAAGGTTAAAAGTATCAGGAAGTCCCAAGTTCAAATTCAAGGAGGAATATATATATATATATATATATATATATGAGTTATTATGCAACTCTTTAAAAATAATGACGAAATTATTTTTCTAAGGATGCAAAGTGCTAATTTAACAAGGATGGTGGTCGATTGGTTTGAGATTGAACTCCAAAAGTCAAAAGTGTCTGAATGTTCCATGTTCAAATCCAATGAAAAATAAAAAATCTTTTTGTCCTTGTGGCCACGGAGGTTCAAATATGATGACTTCAGACGCATATAATCACTTAAAATTAGTCTGCTTACATAGCAGATTGGATATTCAGTTTAATAAAAAAATGAATAATATATATTGTAAATTAATTATTAAGAGTTTAGACTTGATATCAATAAATTACACTTGTACTTTTTTAAAGAAAGAGAGTAGGAAAATAAAGTGTATTTAGTAATGTTTTAATATTGTTATTTTAGTTTCTAAATGAGACTTGGAGACCCTAAAACCCATAACCCATGGGTCAAACATATATTTATACAATTTATAACTATAAAATAATTTTCCATAAATATGTATACATTTTTTTTTAAATCACGTAGTTTTGGAATGTATATAAATTATTTATGATAAATATACCTAATTTTTTTTTATAAATGTAGTATATTTTTTATTATTTATATTATTAATTATGAATATCTATCAAGATATTGATTATAAATAATTTTTATATAATTGGTTTTTATGTTTTTTTAAGTATTAAAATGGGTACTCGCGTAATGTAATGAGATATTCTCGATTTTAATGTTTCATTTTTTATTCGTTTTCTCTGTCGATATAATTATGTGGTTTTTTGAAAATGATAATATTTTTATTTTTAAATAAAATATAAATTTAAAAAAAATATCGATATTAGTATTAAATTAATTATTTAAAAATTCTCGTTTTCCATGTAATCTTTTTTAATTTAATTTTTTATTATAATTTAATTTAGATCTAATAGTAAAGTAACTTATTTTTATTTAATAATGTAAATTTTATAAGGATGATAGTTAAGTATTCTGTTAAAACCCAATGATTATCCTAATTATATTTTAAATTTTTTATATTCAAAATGAGATGTTTATCATGTATTTGATTATATTTATCTACAGTTAGTTACATGAATTCAAAAATAGACTTCTAATAAGTTGTAATTACGCACAATTTACTTGTAATATTGAATTTTAAATAATATGCATCAATAAAAAATACTTCATGCATAAAAAAATAGTTTTTAGAAGTTATTATCAAATGCTTTATAATATAGTATATATTTAGAGAATCTCTAACAAACATTTTATATTTTCGTTCTCAATAGCTCTTGAAACAAATTTTTTGTTTTCAAATCTCCATTTAAAAAAAAAAATAACATAGTCATTGAAAATGCTTTTATTTATCTATACTATATTATAAATCATTTGACAAAAACTCTTAAAAACTATTTTTTATGCATAAAGTACTCTTTATTGATGCATATTACTTAAAATTCAAAGTTACAAATTGATCAAACATAATTACAATTTATTAAAACTCCATGTTTAAATTAGTATAACTAACTACAGATAAACATAATTAATGATAGATAAGCACCATGAGATAAAACACTTGTTGTTTCTTCTGAAATTTTAAAATCTTTCATATAACTAACCAATAAAACTCAGTAATAAAACACATCATTTTTTTATTATTTAAATATATTATCTTTTTAATTTTAAATATAAAATACCTTAAATACAATTATTATTTACCCCTAACTTATTTTCATAAAACAAATCATAATTAAATATATATTTATTTTAAATTAAAATAAAACTTAAATTAAACCATAAAATTAAAATTTTATAATCTCTATATTAATTAGAGGTGTTCGTGGTCCAATTTGGACGATTTTAACCTCTCAAACCACAAACCAAACCGTAATGATGGATTATAAAATTTTCAAACCAAACGGTTTAACATCAAGTGTCCAGACCGGTCAAACCAAACCACGAAAAGACGGTCTGGTCTGACCCGTTTTGACGGTTTGAACCTTCAATGGACTTCAAATATCAAACTTAAAAACACATATAAATTTATAATTGTAGATTAAATATCCATTTTGATTATGGTAAATGTTAGATTTCATGTTGAACCTAGAGATATATTTGAGTCATAGCCCATAAGTTAAAAAAATTGGACTTGTAATATTTGACAGTCGGTTTGGTCCAAACCGTCCAAAAAATTCCAAACCGCAAACCAAACCGGACCCGTCCAGTTTTGCTATTTTCCAAACCAAACCAAACCGTCAGACCACTCAAACCACAAAAAACGGTCCGGTTTAAACGATTTTTTTGAACACCCCTAATATTAATATATAGTTTAAGATAAAATAATAATCAATTAATTTAAAAAAAACAAAGTAAAGATTTCAAAACCCCGCGTTTAGTTATTAAATGAAGTAGTCCCTCTCTTTGTACGTATACATGTGTGTTTTTTTTTCTTTATGTATATTAATTAATAATAAAAAAATAATTGAAAAAAAGGAGCAATAAATATGGGGAAAAGGGGAAGATGGAAAGTAGGGTAGAGAGGTAACTACCAAATCCAGCACTAACTTCAATCACAACCACTCTTTCTCTCTCCACCAACTCCTTATTTATTTCCCCTCTCAATTCCCCACCATCAATCTTCCTTCCTTCCTTCCTTCACCTTCCTTCCATCCACTTCCATGGTGAGATCGCCCTGTTGCGAGAAGGATCACACCAACAAAGGCGCATGGACCAAAGAAGAAGACGAGCGTCTCGTCACCTACATCAACGCTCATGGCGAAGGCTCCTGGAGATCTCTTCCTAAATCCGCCGGTTTGAATCGATGCGGTAAGAGTTGCAGGCTCAGATGGATTAATTACCTCCGACCGGATCTTAAACGCGGTAATTTCACTCCGCAGGAAGATCAACTCATCGTCAGCCTTCATTCGGTTCTAGGCAACAAGTATATACTCGATTCCTACATCTTAATCGATTCATCAATTAGCTAGCTAGGTTTTACCGATTAATTTTGATTTGTGATGGTTGTTTGAGAACCAGATGAAATATACGTGTAATTAATTGCTACTGGATGTTGATTTTGTTTATCAGATGGTCGATGATTGCGTCGAGATTACCAGGAAGAACGGATAATGAAATCAAAAACTACTGGAACACACACATCAAGAGGAAACTGGTTGTCAACTCCACACCTGGACTAGATCCCCAAAACCACCGTCCACTTCTCAACCACCCTACCACCACCGTCAATGTTGTAAAAACTCTCGAGGAGCCACCTGTACTACCACCGGAATATTCTACACAGGCTGTGGAATCATCAAATAGCGGCGGCGGTGGTGGCGTCAGTAGTAGTACCACAAGTGGATTATCGACTGAAGAACACATACCGGTGGTGAACATCACCCAACCTGAAATCAACCTCGAGCTCTCCATTGGTCTACCGGTGGTTTCTGATCAGAAAACGGTGGCAATAGCAGCACTACCTCCATCTTCTTCGTTTTCTCTGTATAAAGAAAAGATTGGTGATGGTTGTGGAGGAACTGCGAGAATTGGCGATGAACATGGCTTATTGTATCCCAATGAGCATAGTGTTAGTATCGGTAGGTTTGATTTTTTGTCGAGCAGATGGAGATGATATTGATTAGTCTTATGATCATGTTATTGTACGTAGCTAATTAGCTAACATATTAAGCCAATTTTTTGTACTCCGAACTCAAAAACTCGTAACGGTGTAATATTTGACGTACGGTCGAACCCTCATGTGTGCAGGCTCGTATGCGTGTCCATTGGCTTTAACACGTGTGTACCTAATCAAAACTTGTTAGGTTCAAGCTCGAAACCAATTAAAGACGAATTCTGAACGATTCATTGATTGCTGGACCCGACATATACTTTTTGGATCAGAGAAATCACTTCATGTGCTTTATCAAAATCTTGGTTGGTAGGTTTTGAACCAACCGATCTTTGTATAATTAATTGGATCCAATGTGAAACCAAAGAAAAAACCCACAAAATAAGGTTCGAAAGGAATAAAATATGAAAATGGCAAGGAACATGCACAAAATCATGCGTCTCCATTCCATGCATTCACAAATGGCAAAGAACATGCCACATTATAATGTCAATTGTTTAATAAACCATGTTTATGGAATAAGTCACTGCTGTGACTTCAGAGGTAAAGTCTACATACAGTCGGTGTTATAAAGTAAAAGGGTAGCATAAAACAGAGCCTTCTTTATAGAATTTCACTTGGAAAAACGTTGGTCTTAATAACGTGATTACAAAACTGCAATACTATTCTTTCCTTTTCCTCGAATTTGCAGATGCGATGAGCACAACTAGAAGCATGGGTTTTATTTTAAGCCTATAAACTATGAAAGAACAGCCATGACATCGGAGGAACGAAGAGCGATGTACTCCGAACCATCAGGTCCTTTGAAGTCGTTGCCTGCGTATTTGGAGTAAAGAACGGTGTTTCCTGGAGACAATGGCAGCCCTGTTCTGTTTCCTTCCTCATCCAGAGGACCAGGCCCTACTGCAATCACCTGCACATAAAAAGGATCAAATGTTCAAGCAAAAGATAGAATTCACTACATAGATGCAATCTACGATGAAACTAAATTTGTAGCGGGTGTCGCTCACCGTGCCAATCGAGGGTTTCTCCTTGCTTGCCTGTGTAAGCAATAAGCCACCAGCTGTTGTTTCCTCGGCTTCCTCAACCTTTTATCCCAATGTCAAACAAGAGATTATAAGCAAAAACCTCTGGGACTAAATGAGAACGTGAAGAAAAAATAGAGATTGCTACATGGTGGTTAGGGCACCCACAGGATTTTAGGTTACGTTTGGCAAGCGAGCTAATAAGCCGGTTGTTAGTTCATAAGCTACCTTATAAATTAGTCACGTTTGGTAAAAAGTAGTTGATAAGCTAAATGACAATCTAAAGTGACCAAATGACATGTTCAAATATTAATTGAAAAAAATACAAGGGGCATAACTAGGAAAAAAAACCTGAAGCTTATTAAAACGTTACTTGCTGCAGTGTTTCAAAAAGCTAGCTTATGACTAATCAAAAGAGTGCTTTTCAATAAGCTCAAAGTATAAGCTACCTAATGTTTGCCATGGCCTTGGACCTCTGCCTACAGACTAATAAGCGGCCGTTTACCATTTTATCTATCAAGCCTTGTATGAATAAATTTGTCGGTCCGGATGTGTTTAATTTTTTTTACCTCAGCATGAACCAAGTGCTGTTTGATAAATTGTTGTTTTGTTTTTCAAGCTAAATGATATTTTGGAAACACAAACTATTTGAGCATCAAAACATAATATCATAAATTCATTGAAAGCAACACTATCATCCTTCCAACTAATCCTAATTCATCCTTATTGTTGTGATCCACCGATTTGTTCCATACCTAAAACAAAGACATAATAGTTCTTTTGTGACAAAAAAGAAGCAACCAAAAATAAACCACAAAACAATACATCAAAAGTTATTAATTACCATAAACAAAAATATGTATATCAGAACTTATAGTTCTTTAATAAATGTACATCATTTTAGAACAAACTCAAATGTTTCGAACCGAGTATTTTCACAGCCGGTATTTTGGGTGTATCTAATTCGATGTGTTTGGAGGACAAGGGAAAAGAAAATTGGGGTTGTATCCATAAAACTTAAACCCTAAACATACTATTGATCAATTGCAAGCATAAACAATCATACGAGGGATTTTTTGTGACAAGGACTCGACATAGAACAAGGGGTAGGGGTTTCAATCATTTCGAATTCTAGGAGAAAGAGAGAGGATGAGAGAGGAAGAGATAGGGAAGAAGAAGAAGAAGAGAGGGTGGTGGAATCTCTAGGATGGTTGACGGAATCCTCCATCATGCCTAATTAACACCATGCAATCACTGCTGTGTCGATTCTTGAGCAGACGGGAGGAGGAGAAGCAGCCAAGAAGAGAGCGTGAAAAAGGAACAGCTAGGTTATATTTTTCTAGGGAGCACCGAGGGGAAAAGGAGGTAAATTTCTGGACAAGTGAGCTACTTGGGCTGTGCAAATAAGCCCACCTATGTTCCATTAAGGTGCAAGTAAACATCTTAACATGCTTATGCAAATAAGCCCAATCAGCTATTGAGCCCACATAACAGAGTTCTGTTTCTAGAGTTGTGAAACTAGATCATGCATCATAATTCATAATTGGTAAGGAAATCATAATGGTGCCCAACCTTGTACAAAATGTTCACAGTAGCAGTCACAGAACAGTCATCTATGAAGATAAAATTTAATTAGCCAGTTCTCATTCAAAAAAGCCAAACTAGAAGATGAGAAAAAGCCATGTTAAGATGATGCAACAGTCATATGCTTGGTTTGGATGTTATCAAGAATGCCCCTTATGGGGTGATAAAGCGTTACCTCTCAAGGTTGTGAGTTCCAATCCCCCTCCCATTTTGCCCTCAAAATACGAGGATTACTAACCTTGATAAGAACTCTGTCGTTAAGAGGCTTCAAATCCTTAACATCATCTGTCTCAAGAATACCAACAATGTCGTCCTCCTTCAATATGAGATGGTTTGACCCATTAAACTCAACCTCAGTTCCTGCATATTTGGAATACACGACTGGGGTACCAGTCTTCAAAATAATTTTGTAAAATAGTAGTCAGTTAACGTATCCCGCAAAATTATTCAATATGAGCATTTAAGTCTTGATCACTTCAAGACCAAAGAATATTACCTTGACACCAATGTCGACCTTCTTCTCCCCAATCGTCCTACCTTCTCCAACTGCAACAACCTCACCCCCTTGAGGTTTTGTCTGTGCCGACGATGGCAGTAAAATACCTCCAATGGACTTCTCCTCAGCAGCCTTGATTTTGACCAACACTCTATCGCCCAATGGTTTCAATGAGGTGTACTGCATGATAAAAGAAGACTACATGGATAAGAAAACGTATGAACCAGAATCAACAGAAAGAGACCAGCAATTCCACCATATATAACACTACATCAAGGGAACTGCTAAGCGAACATTAGAATGAAGGTCCAACAATAACAAAAGCACATCATATTTCAGCTTCATTGTTCTTTGCAACAAGCGTGGGAGTTTATGGAAAAGCCAAAAGCTATTATTCACTAAGCTTAAACGTTGATCAAGTCGAAATTAATCGAGTGCACACAACAGTTGAGAATCAAAATAAAAAGACAATAAACAGATTGGTTCATCGACAAATACAGATTAGAACAAGATTGCTTATACAACCTAAAACAGTACAACAAAATGAAGGGGAAAACCAAACAAAGGCTATTAGATATGACAATACATTTGCAATTGCAGAAGCAGAAATAAATTGCTCCCAAACAAACTTTATAAGTAGTATACCAAAACAAAAAGGAAAACCAAACCACGGTGATGATAACAAGTTTGCAATTGTAGAAACAGAAAAAAATGCCACCAAGCCAACTTTATCAATCAAACCCAATGTAAAGGAATGGAACAGTTATCTAAATGAATTACTGATAGCAAACTTACTGCAACCAGCATATCAAAGATTTCCACTAAAGACAGAATTACAATAAAGAAACAAACAAAATTGTTCCCCAAGGAGTTACATCTGATCTATATGTAAACTTGGTATCCTCAAAAATAAACCAAATCAAACCAAACAAGTCCGGTATATCCTAGCGGGGTAGGCGGTATATTATGTGAAACAGGGTACTTTTCTAATCCACAATTAGGAAACTTTCTAAAATTTTCAAGAATTGATAGCCAACAATATTTAAATTTACAAGAAGTACAAGTATTGGAGTAGTGGTTGTGCTAGATTTGACATAAATAACTATAACTTTCAAGAATACCAAAGTTCACCTTTTGCAGATGGGTAAGTAATAAGATTAGACAAACAAAGACCAGGCAATGTATAAGCAATTAGCTCGTAGAATTATAAGGTAAAGCAAGAGTTAACCTTGGGAGCAACGGTGGTAGCAGATTTGACAACTAGACCACGGGCTGACCTGAGGGTCAAATTTCTAAAAGGAAAAGACACAACAACAGATGAAGTTTTGGATGTCGAAGACCTAAGACCTTCAAACGACGGTAGAACACTGGTTGAATTCAACTGAGCAGCTGCCATTTCCTAAAGAAAAAGAATATTCAGTCGCTTAACTTCCAAGAATAACCTTTCAAACGGTAGACATAGATTCGCTTGGATAATGGAATCAAAATCTTCATGATTCAAACGCAAAACCAATATGAATGTGATAAGAATTTAACAACACTGTTGATTCTGAAACTGGATAGCAATTCAATTTACATTAAATCAACACAAAATTACATATTGTTGATGAGAGTATGCATACCTTAGGGGAAAGCGAGATGATGTGGTAGCTCTGGTTGTATTGATGGAAAACGGAGCGGATAACAAAACCCTAAAAACGAATGGGGGTTTTTATAGTTCCAACAACAGACGTTTCCAGAAGCTTTGTTTTGTTTCTTTTTTTGGGAACTACTATGAACGATGTCGTTCTGTTGGTTTCCTTTTTGTTCTCAAATCTTCGAAAGTGAACCATTCTTTTAAAGTAAATTTTTCGAAAATTATCAACTGCAAATCGTATTTACCAAATGCTTATTAGATAAGCTTTTTAATGTAACACATATCTTAATGAACAAGACAAAGAGTTAGAATCTTATTCTGTTAAATAATACAAAAAAGATTCTTACTAAGTGTTTATCTGATAAAAAATGCTTACAAACAATTAATTTTGATAGCCGAAAATGTTACACAATAAGGTAAATGAAGGTGACAACTCTTACTGGTAAACACTTACTCGATAAAGATTTGATGAACGATGCCTTTGTTTAGTTCTTGGTTCTACATTCTTTTCTAAAACGGATTCGAGACCCAAAGAACCGACTCTTTTTACCATCATATTTCAAGCTTGAAACAACACTAAAGTTTTCAAATTAAAAGCGATAATGGTTCCGTTCGATTCAATTCAAGTCTCCTTTTTAGTTTTTACCATTGAAAATTTTCTCGAATGTTATCTTTAAGATCAGATAAGATTAATCGAGGTGTGTACAAGATGATCTAAACACCCATGGTTACTATAAAAAATCGTAATGAACTACAAGGGTGGTGTCTAATTAGTTTGAGCTTGACTCCAAAGATCAAAAGTACCAGAAGGTCCCAGGTTCAAATTCAAGAAGGAATAAAAATCCCCTTGTAGCTACGGAGGTTCAAATACGGTGACTCCGGGCTATCTGCAAAGCAGGTGTTTGCCCTGGGATTACTCGGCTCGCATAGCGGGTTGGACATCCAGGTTAATAAAAAAAAGATCATAACGACAATTGGGCTTCGTCAACGAGACCCCTTGTCTCCTTTTTGGTTCATTGTCGACATGGAGCCTGTCGGTTAAAAAAACGAGCTTGGTACTTTCCACCTAGATGTGGGGTATGTCCGAAGGGTAAGATATATGCAAACATATTATCTACCCCAATGGGTAAAGCGATAGTTACCATGAAAACCCCAAATTTATGAAAAATGTGAGAAAAATAAATGTTTTCCCACAAAGTTGAAGAATTTAGAGAAGGAAAAGAAAATTATCATCCTACGCACTTCGAAAACACTTTTACGCTACCTTAAAAAGCATCGAAACTCTAACAACATATCATTTGAACAAGGAAACTAGAAAACGAATTAATTCAAGCTAATTTCCAATACTACCCCTGGTGGGACGACAAACGTGATTCCTCTTACGAGCATGATCTTCATTATGATGTTGTGTTCGACAAGTGTAGCCATACCAACAATCTTCCCTTTGCAATGCATCCCCAGGTAGAAGCTACAAGGACACAACTGTCATTAGAAATTCACTTGCAATGCGATACTAACTAGTAGACATTTCAACTCATCGTGCTTGTTTTCCCATGCAATTTAACCATCATAAGCCACTACGGCTCACAAGAGCGTGTTCATTTTGTACAGATTCAACCGATAAAACCAAATCAAACTAACTCGGTATATCTTAATAAGAAGTCGGATCTTAAGGTGGGATGTTAGCATACCTGTCATCCACCACAAATTAGGATATGTCAACACAAACAGAACCATCACACTAAGGGGCCGTTTACCAAATGCTTATTTGGGTAAGCGTTTACCAAGTTACATTACCTTATCTATTGAACATGGAAAGGACCATGAATCTTACCCAGTAAGAGCGAGGCAAGGACCTAGAGTCTTACCCGGTAAGAGAGGGCAATGACTCTTACGACGGTCAGCTCTTACCGGGTAATTCGTTGCATAGAAAGCTGTTTTTTGTTGACTAAAATCTTACCCGGTAAGTAAATGATAGTGTTGAATTTTACCGCTAGATGCTTACCGGGTAAGTGTTTGGTAAACGGCCCCTAAGACATGTTTTGTCCAAAACATTCATTCCTAGGGTCTTTCTGAAACAGCACATTGCCTTTTGAGGTCAAAAGATTGTTGGTAAACACCACCATTTCCATCCGGGTAAGCGTTTGGTAAGAGGTAGTATGGTGATGTTTGTTTCTTAAAAAACCCTCTTATTTACCACTTATGTTTTACGAGATAAGACTGTTTGTTTTTTTTTCAAGTGATATGAGCTTAAAACCTCGTACCGTCCTCTTATTGGACAAGAGGTAAAACCATGTCTTATTAGCATCTTATTGGCCTCTTATTTCCCTAAAACAAAAATTTGGAACTCCAAAAAACAAGAGATGGATAACAAACTCAAGTTTTACAACTTGTACCATGACAATGGACTATTTTTGAGAGTTGACAACATATAAAATGTACGAGTTGTCAATAGCACAGAACTTGCGGGCTGTCTACCAAATGCTTACCAGGTCGTCATTTACCTTCCAGCTGAGCATGGTTACCCACTAGAAGGCATTATGAGGACAAAGAATCTTACCCGGTAAGTGAGGGAGAAGGCTCTTACGTGGTAAGCATTTACTACGTAAAAGACGCTTACCTATAATCCATTTTGATGGCCAAAAATGTTAACCGATAAGGTAAGTAAGGGTGAGGCTTAACCAATAAGCGTTTGGTAAACGGCCCCTTGGTACTCTTAAAAAAACATTAACTCTATTCATTTTGATATAAAAAGAATTTAAATATAATTTTTGATAAGTTTTAACTATCATTTATATTTTTTTATTTGTTGGTAATAGTTTCTTAATATCTTTAATTTTGATTGCGTTATACATTTATCTGTTACAAAAACAAACAGTTCGGCTTCGAACTTCAGCACCACCTTTATGAAATACGACTTCGGACTTCAGCACCTCTTATAAAACAAGCATCACCTAAGTACTTAGTAAACAACCCAATTTTACTGATTTCTGGTGCTTGTTATTAAGTTTAGCAACTAAACATCAAGGTTTGCTGGAAATCTAAAGATGTAATTTTGAAGTTGTAAACTAATCTGTTTGACCTCAAAAGTGAAAGTGTACATGATACATATACATATACACACACACACACACATATATATGTGTTCACCGGAGGCCGGAGATTGGAGGTCGGAGAGATGAGAGAGGAGAGAGAAGAGAGGAATTTTTTAAAAATTCCTAATATGCCCTCTAATTATAATTTTAACTCAAACTACCATAATTATTAATTTCCCAATTTATTCGTTGATTTGTGGTTGAGATTGGACCTCACAGTTATTACAAACTAATCAGTTCTCATTTGATAGGCCCCTATATATATATATATATAAAATATAGGATTAGGTTCAGGGGAAAACCACAAAAAATTGAAAAACTGAGAAACACCCGGTAACCATTCATCTGTTACGGTATGCACATGTGCATACAAGTAACCTTGAAGTAGTTTCTCCATATGCACATGTGTATAGAAATCACGAAACATCTTCAATTACTTGTATGCACATGTGCATACCGTACGGATGAATGGTTATTAAGGTGTTCCCGAGTATTTCATTTTTTGTGGGATTTCCGCTATATATAATGAACAGTAAAAGAGTTTATGAGGGATTGAAATGTTTACATATTTCGGCAAGCTGATCCGGAACCAGTACAAGAGGAACGACACTAGCTTATCAAAGCAATCACTGCACAGAAAAAGCACCCCGAGCAGTTTAAAGAATTAGAAAATCTTCCAACATCAATCAAGTATGCAAAAAAAAAAAACATAAAGTTTGACCATTTAAATCTATTCTGCAAGCTAGTAATGGCATGATTATATATCGTATAAATATAACGTACTTGCAAATATGTGTTTCTGCAGTAATCATCTCGGTATGATTCAGTGGCATCCTTGTCCGATCTGCAGTGTTCATCCATCACGCTCTTAATAACGACATTTTTAACATATAATCCATCGTCCCAGAAAGGGACTCCATGTTTGATTTTTAACATATACTCCAACAAGGGAAAGCTAAAATGAGAACCATCAATATTTTGAGAACCTCATAACCAAATATTTCATGTCATGAATAACCCTGAATAATCATGAATATTATTCTTAATTAATATCATGCATTTCGAAAATTCATGACATCATGTTGTAACATCCCTGTAGTATTCTCCGCTTTATCCACATCTGGACTCACAATTCTAAAAAGCATCTGATAGAGGAGGTATCCGGCCCATTATAAGGCAACCTCCCCCCCCCCCCCCAAAAAAAAAAAAAGTGGGATCTCACACATCCATTTTCATCACAAATATCATGTATTTTCATTAACTTGAACCCATGAATAATTTTTCAACTCTTAGTTGAATTTGACTGCCACAAGGAGTAGCTTCACCTATTTCCCGATTATTTAACTTCGTAATCCATTCCGAGACAACATTCTGCAGTGTTTTCCCCATTTGCAGTATACATCTTTCAGTGATCTGAAAATTGCAGGTAAATGTCAGTTCCATCAATGGTTATAAAGGTAGTACTTATTATTTGACACATAAACCGCAGCTTAGAAGGAAATGAGAGTGGATTGGTGATTTATGTTCCTAAAACTAAACCAAACAAAATATATCCCACTCGAAAATAGGGTCTGGGATACTTGTTCCTGTTTATAACTAAATAATCAATGCAAAATGTTGACAAGAAAGAGAGGCAGGGGGGGTAGTTTCGTACATCTTGTTCATGTCGGTTCCGTTCATGTGCCAGAAACGGAATTATTGTAAGGGTTCGCTCTGCAATCTGTCAAGTATTATGAGAGGTTGCATAAGAAACTTTCAATCTTGCTTACAAAGAATATGCATAAATGTGTTTACCATCTATTTTCTAATAGGCAACTAAGGTACCGCATCAAACCACTGTAAATAAACAAAGAGAAATATTTACATCATTATACCAAATTCAAGGTTTCATGAACCAAAACCTCAACTTGGTTTGAAGTTGCATCATCCTTCCTACCAAACCAAACCAAACCCAACCCGACCAAACAAACCCTGTATATCTCACACGGAGGTAGGGTCTGGACTCTAGGGGGTAGGATGTACACAAACCTTGCCTCTACTACAAAAAGATGAAGATTGTTTCCGTGAAGACCCCCAGCTGCATCATCCTTACAGATGCACAAGATCCAGGATTTTTGGGCCTGGGCCTTCTATCCCCATTTTATTTGAGCAAAACAAGGTCCGGATTTGGGGTTTAAAAAAGGCCTGATCAGGCTTTTTTCAAGCTGGGCTTTTTTGGGCTTAACCGGATTTTTAAAATTTCAGCCTGATCGGGCTTTGGGCTCTCTAGGCCCAAACTTTTTCAGGCCGGGCGGCCAAGCCTGGTCCAGGCTTCAGGCTTGGGCTTCTTTTTGTGCATCTCTACATCATTCTACACAATACATGATAGACCGATTGAGAAACCATGGGACAATATGAACAGCTTACTGGCTTGAAAGTCTCGAGAGCACACATATGATGTGTGTCGCTTCTGGTAACCTGCTGGGAATGCCAATAAGCACCACAAAATGCTCGATCACATCCTAAGCCTGCCAATATGAGGGAAATGTTGAAAAAAAATTCAATAAGAACGCTTCAAAACACTTCCTTCGTTGGGTTCTCTGTGAGCTGATTACTAGTTTGAAGTGGAGCTTGGTTCGTTTCAGGGAATGAGAATGGGAATGGGAATGTTGGACAATGGAAATGAGAATGAGTTTAATTCCCTCTGATTTTGATGAGGAACGCTTCATTACCCAATATCTGGTAATGGCTCATTCCATTGCATCAAATCATAAGCCATTATGAGTATGTTGACAACTCACAGTGTTGTGGTACGCGTATATTGGTTCTAGAAGGCATCATTCCTCCACATGCATGGCATTGCAGATGCACCGTGTTTTGGTTGCACTGAAACCCTGCATACTCCATGCCTGAGTGATACATAAAGAATCAGATAAACAAATGTAGAAGAAAGATCAATGCTTTAATGTTGTAAAAGAAGATAAGTTTCAACTTTTAAAGAATGGATTACTTTTCTTCAAAAGTTGCGGAAATAACTTGACAAAATCAATATCGAATTTATAGTAGTTTGGTAAGTACCAACTCCAACGTAGACAAAATACCTGTCCCTTCCTTTTTCTTTTGAAATGGAGGGAGTATACAACAAAAAGGCACCTAGACACATAGTCCATTTGGTAGCATTTGGTATACTGACATGATTGGACCGGACAGAACTAGGCAAGAGAGCAGGAGTGAACATGACAAGACTCGACATGACAAGTATTCTGTCTCATGTTGGTACGACTAGAACTAAATAGGACAGAACTAGACAAGTTGCCGCTAAAAGTTGTTTGATGATTTTATATATCCTATAATAGTTTTAAATGACATAGTTCATGTAAAGATTTAAATAATTTAATTTGAACACTTTTACACAATTTTCATATATTATGTGTGTATATATAGGGTCCCCTTCTTTTGTTAACCAACACATTGGTATTGACTTTGTGAACCGATCTCAACCGTTAACTATTGAAATCAACGACTTATAAATAAATGATTATTTTATAATTGAAGTTCTCGAATGAACACGTGGGTAGGCCACCTTCATCTATGAAGATGGGTAAAATAGTAAAATGGTTTGGAGATGCAAATAAGGAAATGGAACCTAATTTCACGGATTCACGATACATAACCAAATCAATTCCGAATTTCATGAAATCTTGAGGATATTTCAATCCATATCATCGTAATCGAAATCCATATCTTCATCATTGAAATACCCCATAGAAACCAAAAAATGGCGGAAGATGGAGACGGGAACGGTTTGAATCGAGGTAAAATCCCAGCACATGTGCATAACATGTCCATGTGCACAAAAACCAAAAAAAAAACCGCTTCAATTACTTGTATGCACATGTGCATACCATCCAGATGAACGGTTACCAAGGTGTTCCTCAGTTTTTCATTTTTTGGGGGGTTTCCCTAAACCTCCCTCTCTCTCTCTCTCTCTCTCTATATATATATATATACACACACACTCACAAAATATGTAATAGTACCAGATTTAAATGAAGAATAGTTCAAAAACCAATTCGTAAAAAATTATGTTCTATTTGATTGAAAGATCCTCATGAATTGGTGGAGACGTGGTGGAGGTTGTTGCAACAACTATATTGGTTGAGGTATTTAGTTAAATGGCATTCTATGGAATTCCCTTTTATAAGTTAACCTTCTAGTGTTTTTTCAAGATTTTTCGGGGGCAAGGTGTATAACACCATAGGCAAGTCATCTGAATGTTATTGAGTTAATTTTTGTAAAAGCTCATACTCCTAATTCAGAACTCATTTAACTAAACGACTCTAGTGTCTTACCACATTGAGCACATGAAAGATCCACGACATTACTATCTTCTTCTGGCTGCAAACGTGACCTCTTGCGTCGAGACTTCTTTCCGTTGTCAATGACCTGACAATCATTGAGTTTAAGCATTACCATTAGGAGCGAGAAATATTGTTTACTCGATTACAAAACCACATGATGATAAACATAAAAAATAATGAGTGATTTGACTCACAAAAGGTGATTTTATTAACGCATAGGAGTTTAAAGCGGCAAGTTCTTTGTCACTGCGTCTTAGGGAAGAATCACTTTGCAGTATTTCCTGCATATAAGCCGCATCATGTATAATTTTTCATAAAAGTTGAAAACGGTAAGAGTATGAGATCAAATGCTACCTCTTCAATGTTGTGGAGGAAATGGTTTCTCCCCACAAATTGTATAACGGCTCTGCAATGAGGACAAAGAACACTTGAATGTTTTTCTTGTGACCTTCTCAACCACTCCGAGAAGCATCCATTGCTATGAATGATAGAAAGAAAATCGATTAAAGATCGTATTTCTCTAAAATTATGAAATCATGAAGAAGAATTTTGAATCGGGCAAAATGCATCAAAATGCAATGACATTTGCTATAGTTCCTGTTTAGTGTATCTATGGAATTTTTTTTCTAAATTACTGTAAACAAATCTTACTATTTTGTACGCATTTTGATCGGTAACTAATAGACCTTGACATCTAATTATTGATGACATCAAGTTATCAAACGATATTGTAATTTTTAATTTCGTGGAAAGATGTTGCATCAATATCAACCGATACCACGTAGGCTAAAAAACCATTTATCTGGTAAAATGGGTACGAAATAGAAAGAATTGAAAGTTTGTTACACTAATTAATGAAAAAATGCATTATTTCACTTGATAGTAACTAAAGGAAACTTGGTTACATTTCGATGCATTTTGCCCTTTTAAGTCACATACCAGAAGTTGTGGAGGCAGGGAGCAACCGTGACAACGTCATGCCAAATATTTAAACATATGCTGCATTTTGCATGATCGGAATCTAAAGAAATCTAGCATTTAGCAAAACAGATGTTCATCACCATACAACTATCGGAAGTAAGATGCATAGTAAATGATCAATGAGATGAATGGTTTTTACCTTCAACACCTTCTTGGCAGACTCATTCATAGGCATCACTTTAAATCGGTAACTCAAATAGCCTTTCAACATCAAGAAGAAATAAAAAGGACTTGCAATCAGAGGCTATCTTCTCCAAAAAAGAATTAGAAGATTTTAAAAAGACGGACAAACGATGAAGACAAGTACTTTTATGGCAAAACTCGTCATTTACAGTATTTTGTAGTTAAACAACTCATGTGTCATATGGGCCAGTAACATTAACTATGAAGAGATGATACAAAAACTTAGAAAAGGCAAGATCCTGCATCCAAACGCGTTATGCTCAGAATTGTCAACATGGGTAATGAATATAAAAAGAATTAGTGTGTCCTATACCTTCCGAAGCAGGGCCAGGAATTATCTCACTTCCACAACGAATCATGATCGTATCTTTAGTTTGAACATCAGTCCCATCAACAGATATCACATTTGAACTGCACAAATTATTTATATCAGCAAAGTAAATTACATAAAAGAGCTGCTAACTCACTCGATGAACTTTCATTTCAAAATAATACAACAGTCAAGATATTCGTTCAATGGTTAAAGTAATGTGTAAACCAAATTTAGTCGTTAAGTACCTGTTATTTTGCAACATTGCAGAAGAGAGATCCAAATTTCTTGTAATTTTGCACCATCCCTCCTTTTCGAATGAAGAGACTTTGACCTCTGAACGTATCTCCGCCTCATCTGACCACAATTCGACGTCTGAATATCTGGAGTCTGATGGCACTGGGACATGACAGTAACGGTTTATCAAACTCATATATTGTAGCCTACTCTTTGAAATGGTAAAGACGTTATTGATCATGGAGACAGCTATCATCACCAGTGTGATATATGAGCCCCTTAGAAATATGACACTAAGAAACAGATAACTTTTTAGCTTTCTATCACCACTGAAAAGATTCAATCTTTGCAATACTTTAGAGTTCACTGAGAAACCATAATTGGCAGACCAGTTTCATAATTATCAACACACAAGGATTGTGTAATCCTATTACCCTCCTACAGCTAAGTTATTCACCAATCTCTAAATATTATTGATATGTCAAAAAGGGAAAAATGTGTAACAATCAGCCACAAGACTTCCCAACATGCCAACAGTGTCTGAACTCCGAAGGGACCGTTTACCAAACGCTTACCAGATAAGCACTTACCAGCAAGATGCACCACCCTTACTTACCTTATTAACATTCTTGGTCATCAACATCAATTGTTGGTAAGCATCTTTTACCTGGTAAGCACTTACCAGGTAAGGCTTAAGAGTCTTCTCTCTCACTTACTAGGTAAGATTCTCAGTCCTTGGCTCAGCCAGTAAGGTAAGTGACACCCGCCAGTAAGCATCTGATAAACGGCCCCTAAGTGAAAGCTAATAACTTAATCTATATAACTACAAGTGTCACTGAAACTTTTAACTTGTTGAGTTCTTGAAAGCCCAATTATAGCTCAAAGCAGACAATACAACATCAAAAAAATTGATGTTTAGGGTCTCCTTCATCCCCAGTGACTCAGTGAGTAAAGTTATCTTCAAGAGACTCAGTATCAGGTCATTTTCCATTCACAGTTTGTTCGTCTATCATCAAACATCCATTTTAAAATATTTAGCATTATCCTGCTTAAATTACAGAGTGGGTCAGCAAAAATATTGTATCAATCTAAACCAATGATCAAAAATAGCATTGTGATTGCAAATTACTAGAAATGAAGAATACCCAACAAAGTGAAATGAATCATTACTTGATTATCAGCAATAACCCCCAAAAATGGTCAAGATGATTAATCAAGAAACAATGTAATCGTCGGTGGCATTCACATACATAAATCAAGAATGATTTGTTTCTACAGAGAGAAGTTATGAATGTTAATTGAAGAAGATACCGAGTTTGGACCAAATTTCATCAGAGGGCTTTGAACCAGAACCTTCTCCTTGTTCCATTGTTGCTTGTTCGCAAGTTGTCTCCAAGGTTTTAATCTCATAAAAAGGGTTGCATGTTGCTTCGTTTGGAAGGAAAATGGACATCAGTGCTAAACACGAAAGTGTGACTTTTTAAGGTGAAATAGAATTGTTAGGGTTTTACCAACAAACAAATTAATCTTCAGGTGATTTAAGTCGGTTTCGGTTTACAAGTGTATTATAATTGACTGATTGTTTGTCGGTTGTTGAATTGTTTGGCGTAAAAAAAACTACAGTAAAAAAAAGTCTGAAGAATTTGCTCGAAGCTACAAAAAATAATAAATGAACACACGTTTCAACCTACTCTCATAACAACTTTAAAGATAATTGTTTTAATTCTCTCATAGCTTTCTTCTGTACATTCATTTGTCCTGAATTAGGATCTGCTCCTGTTGCCAATATTTATATTTGATTAACAAAATTATAAGGGTTACTTCCTAATGATATTAAATTATTGTATTCGTCTGATTGTTCTCGTTTAAAGGCTTCCCACATTGCCTTAGTACTTTCTTCTAAAAATGTTTCTAAGTATCTATACATATCTTGAATTAAGTTGTTATGTATGTAGTAGTAATGAACACTTAGCTAGAACTTGCCCGAAAAGAGTAAATAATTTTGACAAGAAGAGCACTTTAATAGAATGTGTAAATGAAGACCTTATTTTCGTAGATGAATATATTTCAGATAATGAATGAATTTATAGTATAATAACTATAGAAGACAACTATTTAGAAAAAGAAAAAAACAGTGATTCTGAATCAGAAGTAGTGAGTGAATTTACTCAGGACTCATAATTAAGTTTAGACTTTGTCCATACAGAAGAAAAATCATGTGACCATAATTGGCATAAAATTTAGGAACAGATAGTACTCCTTGTATAATTTGTGCCAAATTTCCCCATAGAACCTTAAGAGCCAAATGTTTAATTTGCCTTAAAGAAGTTTGTGTAAAATGTCTAGAAAAAGATAAATTAATAGATATAGAACCAGAAAAACCTTTAAACACAATAATACAAGAATTAAGTAAAACCTATAAACCTATTATTATTGTGTTTATAGGTTTTTCTGGTTCTATATCTATTAATTTCTCCTTTTCTAGACATTTTACACAAGCTTCTTTAAGGCAAATTAAACATTTGGCTCTTAAGGTTCTATGGGGAAATTTGGCACAAATTATACAAGGAGTACTATATGTTCCTAAATTTTTATGCCAATTATGGTCACATGATTTTTCTTCTGTATGGACAAAGTCTAAACTTAATTCTGAGTCCAGAGTAAATTCACTCACTACTTCTGATTCAGAATCACTGCTTTTTTCTTTTTCTAAATAGTTGTCTTCTATAGTTATTATACTATAAATTCATTCATTATCTGAAATATATTCATCTACGGGAATAAGAACCAAAAGAATTTTCTTCAGAAGAACTAATCGGATTAGATTGGAACCTTAGTGTTTTTGAAGAACAAAAACCAAAAATGGTTGCCCCTAAAGATGCTTTATTATATACAGATAGATATGGAAAAACTAGTCTAAGATTCACATATTATATTTCAGTACCTAATCAAGAATATGAAGATGAAATAGACAACAGTTCTACAAGTACAATGGATACTGATGCAGTACATATAGAACTAATGAATAGTGAAACTGACAAGATAATATTTCCAAAAGAATTAAATATTAATTTAAGTAAGGAAGAATTATTACAATTAGAAGATCAATTATACTTGTCAAAACAAATTACAGAACAAGAATACATTTATTACGATGAATTTAAAAATACAAAAAATAGGTCTATTACAAGAAGAAGATCAACCAACCCAAAATACATATACAAGTTACCAAAAAGAACTAATAGATGAAGAAGCTGAAAGTTATAGAACTACTGTAAAATCTCCGTTTGAAAGAACAGTTCCCCAGGAACAATTCTCTTATAATAGTTTTCCTCCAAGAGCAGCCTATGAAAATTACAAAAAACCACCGAATAATCATAAGCATATAGCCAGAGGAATAGAAAGACCTTTAGAACAACCAATAAATTTTCAGGCAGAATCAAAAGGATATATATTAAATCTAACAGCCCATGATACACAACTATGGACTAATGTAATAGATGTTTGGAAAAGCACACTAATAGCCCATTACTATAGACTTCATCAAGAATTAGAACCTCAAGATATGTATAGATACTTAAAACATTTTTAGGAGAAAGTACTAAGGCAATGTGGGAAGCCTTTAAACGAGAACAATCAGACGAATACAATAATTTAATATCATTAGGAAGTAACCCTTATAATTTTGTTAATCAAATACAAATATTGGCAACAAGAGCAGACCCTAATTCAGAACAAATGAATGTACAGAAGAAAACTATGAGAGAATTAGAACAATTATCTTTATATCAATGGACTAGTGGTAAAAAAGTAAAACACTTTTTGAATCATTATGTATATCTAACAACCATAGCAGGAAATACCTTTAACCAAGAAATAGGAAATAAATTATTTCATAAATTACCTGGACCATTAGGATTAGAAATTCATAATAAGTGGAATAATCTACCAGCAGTAAAAGAAAACCCAGATTATCATTGGCCAATAGGGCAGAGAGCTCAGTTTGTAACCAAAATGCTAGAAGAAAAATGTGTAGAATTACAAATACAAAAGCAATCAAAACAAACAGACTTTAAATTCTGTAAAGATATGTATACACCTCAGACTTATGGAACATCCAACCCGAAACCTAAAAAGAAATATAATAATTATAAAAAACCCAGTAAATCAAGATATTATCTTAGAAAATCCAATAGAAAGAAACCTCATTTGAATGAACAAAAACATGTTAGAAAGTTTAAACCAGAAAGAACCTATAAAAATAAATTAAGTTGTTATGTCTGTAGTGGTAATGAACACTTAGCTAGAACTTGCCCTAAGAGAGTAAATAATTTTGACAAAAAGAGCACTTTAATAGGGAGTGTTACATTAAATAAAGACTACCTACATTTTCAAAGACATACATTTTTAACTCCTGTAATTTCCTCTTCGCGCATAGAGATGCGTGGTGGGGAATACCTCCCCGAAAAACCCTGTCAATGCAATAAAGAGAGAGAATGTCAGCTGAAAGAAGAAATTTTAGACTATGAAGAAAAAACTTAGAATATGGAGAAGATAATTGTATAGAACATAACCTTGACTTTATAAATAGTGAAACATTCTACACAATCTTAGTTATAGAACAAGACGTAGACAATTTAATTTTCAAATTAGAAAAAATAGGAATTATAGGGGAAAATATTATTAGATATTGGGAGAAAGACAAGGTTCAATGTGAGTTAAAAATAAAAAATCCAGAATACATAATAAAAACAAAAAACATAGAACCCACTAATGAGGATAGAGAAGATTTTAAGATGCATATCTCAGAATTGTTAAAATTAGGAGTAATTAGAAAATCCGACAGTCCTCATAGATCACCAGCTTTTATAGTAAGAAAGCATTCAGAAATAGTTAGAGGAAAAAGTAGAATGGTAATAAACTATAAGAGACTTAGGGCCTGTTTGTTTTTTAAAATTTTCACTTAATTGCCTCTTAACTCTTAATCGGTCAGACATAAGTGATTTCAGACTGTTTGTTTTTTTTTTAAATTAAGAGCTTTTTTACCTCTTACCGTCCTCTTAAAATTAAGTGGGAATCCTATGTCTGAAATCAATTTCAGAGCCGCATCCCATCTCCATCTCCATCTTGCTCTCAACTCTCGATTTATCCATCTCCATCTCGCTCTTAACTCTCGATTTCTCCATCTCCATCTCGCTCTCAACTCTCGATTTCTTCATCTCCATCTCGCTCTTCCATCACCATCTCGCTCTCAGCTCTCGATTTCAAGGTCTCGCTCTCAGCTCTCGATTTCAAAGTCTCGCTCTTAGCTCACGATTTTTTGACTGCCTCTCCGTCCAAGCTCTCGATCTCTCGAATGCTCTCGATGTCAACAGCTCACGATTGTTCGTGTTTATATTGATTCAAATTTCAGACGTAAAAACAAATAGTATGACTGATTCAGATTCCAGACTTCAGACGTAAAAACAAACAGTCTGACTGATTCAGATTTCAGACTTCAGAACCACCTCTTAAAATTCAGAAGTGAATTCAGACTTCAGACTTCAGCACCTCTTAAAAAACAAACGCCACCTTAATGATAATATTCCAGACAAAACATTACTAATAAATAAAATACAGAATTGTAAGATATTTAGTAAATTTGATTTGAAATCAGGATTTTGGCAAGTTAAGATGCATCCAGACATCATAGAATGGACTGCATTTACTTGTTCTGAAGGACATTATGAGTGGTTGGTAATGCCCTTTGGACTCAAAAATGCACCAAGTATTTTTCAAAGTAAAATGGAAAATATATTCAATAAACACAGTAATTTTGTAGCCATATATATTGATGATATATTAGTTTTTAGCAGAAATAAAAAGGAACACAGACGACACCTACAGATTGTATTTTCAAGACATGGTTTAATTCTAAGTAAAAAGAAAATGCAATTATTTAAAGAATATATAGATTTTTTAGGAGTTAATATAGGAGAAGGAAAAATCAAATTACAGCCTCATATAGCCCAAAAGGCATTAGAATTCCCAGACAAATTAGAAGACCTAAARCAACTCCAAAAWWTTTTAGGATTAATAAATTATGCTAGACCCTTTGTGAAAAATTTAGGAAAAATAGCTGGACCCTATATGCTAAGACATCAATAACTGGACAAAGATATTTTAATCAAGAAGATATAAAATTAGTACAACAGCTAAAACAACAAATAAAAACCATACTAGAATTAGCATTACCCTTAGATTCAGACTATCTAATAATAGAAACAGATGGATGTAATACAGGATGGGGAGCTATACTTTTATGCAAACCCCATAAATATGCTGATAAAAGCACATAAAAAATTTGTCGTTATAATAGTGAAAAATATAAAGAAAAAGGAAATATTAGCAGTATAGATGCAGAATTATTAGCTATTAATT